TGGAACTACCCCCTCGCGCCCGCATCCACAACGTGTTCCATGTGGGGCTGCTCAAGAAGTACCAAGGGACACCGCCGACAGAGCCTCCACGGTGCCGCTACTTCACCATGGTGCCATTGATCCTGAGCCGGGGAGCGCGGTGGTGTGCAGTCTGGTGGCCAGGTGTGCATCAAGCACCGGTTCGGTGGAAGGGAGCTTCACCGCGTCGGCCACACAGGAAGACGTCGCCACACTCCGCTCCAAGTTTCCCCAATTCTAGCTCGAGGACGCAGTGGCTCTCGGCAGGGAGGAGATGTCATGTTCAAACAAGTCTACACTAGGCGCCATAGGGCCGAGATGTGTGAGGGGCCGAGAACGCGCTGCTTCTTGCTGTGTGCCAGCACCACCAGGCGTCCTCCGGCGAGTGGCTAGGAGGGAAAGTAGGAGATCTATTAGTTATTTTGGTTAGTCCTTAATTAGTGGACTTTGTTACTCCTTTTGGTTGAGCCGGAGGCTATACATATCTTGTAACCAGACACTTGGCAGGGGAGAAAGAATTACCATCAAATCTCTCTCCCTCTCTTCTACCTAAGCCGGCGGCTGGGGGCATAACCCACCGACGAGGAACGGCGGCAAGGGGGTATAACCCGGCCGGCCACCACGGACAGCGGCTACGATCTACGTAGCCGAGGTCCCCCTTCCCTTGGGCTCACTGCCCTTGACATTACTCAAACCAAACACATGGTAAATGTTGTCATGGACTAGCTATGTATGTGGGCTATCATGGTGTCTTGGGCTGATTTACATTATTAAATGGGTTATATAGCTGATTACATGGAAACTAGAAGATTGTTCACTTTTCATGTGGTTGAATTGGTGGTCCAGAACAGTATACCACTCCGGCTTGTATATGCGTGACAGTCTGGCTGCCTATCCATCTAATCAAACAATTAAATGGTGCTACCTATTAATTTCAACAGACACATAGGGGTCAAAACAGGATGAAAATTCCAGTCCCCACTGACACTGTTAACATTTTTTTTTCCCACCCACTTCCTGTTACTTCAGGAAAACCTGAAAACGGTTCTAAACCGGTAAGCAGCTGGCGAAAGCAGTATTAAAAGGGAGGACCCTTTTCGGGACCATTCTTGGGTTCCCGTTTTGCACCATGAAGTTCCCACCGGTATTCCCGTTTACCTATGCTTGAGGCGTGCATGCAAGAGCACAGCTGTTTGTCTCTCCACACCATTGCTGGCTTATTTTATAACTCCTCTCGCACATGACTTCAACTAAAGTGGGCTAGGTAGGACTAACTGCAGGAGGAATAGAATTGGGTGGAATTGGATTATTTGCATTGAGCCTATTGGGCGGTATATAGAGATTGCATGACTTGGAGGTCAAGCCAGTACACGGGATTGTAATGTGTGGCAATCCCAAGCAGAGGAGTGGTGATGTGTTGGAGCCCCAATCATAGGTGATGGCCACAGTCGGCGTAGGCCATAGGGTAACGTATGGGCAGAGGCGTGCAAGAACCGCATGCGTATGCGGGAGTCCCCTGGAGCGCCGCGTGCTGCACTACATCACAGTCAGAGATGGTGAAGATGCCAATGTAGTCGATGTCGGGGTAGAGATGTGTGAAGACAACGGCGCCGAACAACGCAAACCGATCTTAGATCGGAAAAACATAAGAAACGTCGATCAACAACCGGCGAGAGAGAAAACCTCAATCAACGGATTGGGAAAAGACTCTAGGGCAGCCGATCAACACGATCGGCAACGCGAGCCTTAGGTACGGGCAGGGGCAGCACTGCCCCGACAAAGATCCTCATGGATACTCTCCCCTGGGGCATACGTACAAGTGGAAGCTTTAGGGTTTGTGGCCTAGAATTTAAACTTAAACTCGTGATACCACGTATAGGAGGAATAAAATTGGGTGGAATTGGATTAATTGCATTGAGCCTCTTGGGCGGTAATATATAGAGATTACATGACTTGAAGGCCAACTAGCCAAGCCGGTATATGGGATCGTAATCCCAACTAACGCTATCCAAGTCGTGATATACTAACACTAACCATCCCCTGGCTTCCTTGTGGTTGTGGGAACATGAACGTGCACTGGAGAACACAAGGGAGTCGGTTGGGCCTCTCTACAGCTGCTGTTGACCCACTAACAAAATGGACAGGCACACCAAAGAAATTGGCATTCACCAGTCATTGATTATACTTTATTTTTCAATTAAACCTCCTTTCCTTCTTTGTCCTGTTAAACTGGTACTTTCGGTTTTTCTTATATACATTCATGGAAAGATGCGGTCTTTTTTCCCAGCATCAGTGAGGATAACTAGACCAACACGCTGTGTCGATTTAAAATTATATTGTGTGAATACAAACTATTATTGTGTAGTCATGCTTAGTTTAACATTTGAGGAGATCGTATCATTATGTGTTTCCAATTTCAATTATCAGGTCCTGACCGTTATAGACATGTTTCCGTACGAATTGCTCTGTTTCCTATATCACGAAATACCGCTTATGCTTTCCCGGCTGGCCTTCCTGTGTCCGATTCCATTTTCAGGTAAAAATATGAAATTGAAAGTGGTTAAAGGCTTCTCCCAACTGTTTTCATCCTTAATGGCACATACAATAGTGCAACTATTGGTTCCAAGCAAATATTAATGAGTTTGTAATTCTCAATCTTTACTCATGCACTAGCCGCATAAAAGCATCAGAGCACTGAGTGATCCATTTAAACAAAATTCTATGCACCGTGATTCATGGCATCCCAAAGTTATGGCTATGACATGTGCTCTGCTCTATCTAGTTCATACATGGTCCAGAAAACATGCCAAGACTCAACTCCATTGAGTTACTTTTTCCACAAAAAATTTAATAGAATACTTCTATGGCTGAACTAAATAGTTTGTCCTGGACATAGCAATATATCAATAGAACATCATCATCACTGGAATACCAAATCCTACGACACCAAATATGGAGATTGTGTCCAGTTTCAGATATTATTCTTTTGCACAGATAGTATAGTTTGTTTTTCTGGAAAGTTCATAGGCCCTCCATGGACAGATGCACTGCTGACCTTAATCTACTATATAACAAAGAGTCGATGACAAGTATTTTACAACTACTACGATAAAGAGAAATATGCTAGAAAATACAAATATGCATCCTCGCCATATCAGGTGGAACCAGATGGGGGCATGAGTTTCCAACACCAAATGCATAGCCATTAGCCAGTATCAATACGTCAAGGTCCTAACTAGGATCACAGCCAGAATACAGTTAACACTAAAGAAGAGATCTATACACACCTGATTGTTCAATCCAAGATAAATTGGCAGCGTTAATGTATGACACTTTAATTAATGCTACATAGTATTTGCCCTACATATGCTTATACAGCACCAGTAACATGCAACCACTTTATGTGTTTAATAAAAATCCTTGTCATTCGATGTTTTCCAATGCACATACTTTACGTTTTACCCTTATCAACTATATATCTCCATGCAAGCTTTTTGAAAAACTGAAAACACAACTTATTCATAATAACTATGGGCCTGGTACAGCTTATAAGCTGCTTATGGCCAAAATAAGCTGAAATCAACAGCCAAACACCACGTTTTTCAGCAGCTTATTCTGACCACGCTTATTCCCACAGCTCTCATTTGTACTAAAAAGCAGAAGCTGGATCAGACCAGCTTATTTTGACCGCCGCTTTTACTCTATTTGTGCAGCTTATCTAGGAAGCGCTTCCCAGATAAGCTGTACCAAATAGGGCCTATGTTGGTAACAGTGTGGAAATTAAAAAGCTTCCAAAGTTGCCAAACAATGAAGGTTCACAAAACGATAAAAGGCAGTCCAGATCCAGATAATAATAAAGACCTAAGGTATGGACACTTTTAGTGGTGTCCTGTGTTGCATGGATCTCAACAAACAATGATGGAATAGAAAGAGAAGGAAGAGGGAAGTTTTACTAGGTGTAGATTCCAATAAGGTTGGCAACGATGCCTACTAGATGAGCTAATGGACGTTAGGAACTAACTGGTGTCAAAAGGATGGCTCAAGGCCTGGGTGTAATGTCCACTCAGTCCTCAAGCAAGCAGGGTTGAAGGACCTCATGGCAGACTTTGAGCTTAACAAAGTTGACAGGATTTAAACCAGCGACCAAACAGCATGTAGTATTGTAGGTCCAAAGTGATCATGGAGACTGATGCAATCTGTTGGGTTTCTACACGTCTATATTGGTCCAGAAATCAGAATGGCATGCTCCATTTACACGGGAAAAATTAGCATCGCAATTGCACAGGCCATTCAGCAGTTTATTTAGAGCGGGGAACTTATTAGTATCTACGAATCTCACATATTTATCAGATTTAATAAACCAAAAAAATTACGCATATCATCCTAGCAACAAGGGGGTGTCGAAATGAGGTTTACTACTACTAAAGAGATTCTACAATTTACGCGGGAAACTTAGCATCACAATTACACAGCCCATTCAGCAAGTTTATTTAGGCCTTGTTTGGATGCATGTGTATCCACCTCAATCCACATGTGTTATAGTGGAATGGAATGGAATTTAGTTTAATTACACTCCAATCCACTTCAACACATGTGGATTGAGATGAATACATGCGCATTCAAACAAGGCCTTAGGCCTTAGAGGAGGGGGGGTGGGGGGGGTATCATATTAGTATCTACGAATCTCACAGATTTTTATCAGATTTAATAAAACCAATAAAATTACACATATCATCAGCAACAAGGGGGTGTCGAAATGAGGTTTACTACTACTAAGAGATTCTACAATTTACGCGGGAAACTTAGCATCACAATTACACAGCCCATTCAGCAAGTTCATTTAGAAGGGGGAAAGGTACCTTATTAGTATCTACTACTACTAATCTCACAGATTTTATCAGATTTTTTAATAAAACAAAAAAAATCACACATATCATCCTAGCAACAAGGCGTCAAGGCGAGTGTTGAAATGAGGTTTACTACTACTGACCAGTGACGAGATCAATCGACGAGCGCTGCGCCCTGGCCGCCGCAGCGGCGGCGTCGCGGAGGCGGAGGAGCGGGAGCACCGAGACGCCGACGAGGAGCACGGCCCTCCTCCGCGTGGCGTCGTCCGCAGCGGGGGAACGAGCGGCGCTAGACGCCGAGGCAAAGACTGCGGTAGCCACCCGCCCGGCGCCGCTGCCGCGGCGGCCGCGGGGTGGAGGGAGAAGGGCGGGGCGGGGCGGCTGCGCCACCGGCGGCGAGAGTAGGAGGTGGTGGTAGCCCATGCCGGCGTCGCAGTCGCAGTCGCAGACACCCAAAAAAAAAAACCCTACCACGGTACCACCCACCCCTCGCCGGCCGCTGCTTTGCAAGCTGGAGCGGTGTTTTATCAAGTGAGCATTCGTAGCAACGGAAATGGCAACCCGTTCTGCCTTCTGAGCTGGGATTTGGGGCTTGCCGGCTTGGGAGAAGGGCGGGGAGGGGAGTGGCAACGCACAAGCTGAAGCGGAAGCGGAACCGGAGGAGAAGGTTTCGGAACTGTGTCAGACTGTCGGGTTCTGGTTACGTGGGCTCTTCACGGACCATGTGGGCTTTAGAAAAGGTTCGTCATAATAGGTCTGGCCCATGGATGGGCACAACGCTACTAGACTGTCAACCGGTCCCATTCTTAACATGAGATTTTTTGCTAAATGCTACGAAAATTCCTCTAAAAATACTACTTGTGTGAAAGATACTCCAACTTATTTGTAAAATGCCACACTCCTTATTTGTAAACGGCCAGAAAAGACCATTCTCTGCCTGAAATTTGACCAAATATATAGGTTAAAATATTAATAATTATAACATCAAATATGCATACTATAAAAATATATTTTATGATAAATATAATGATTCCTATTTTATATCATGAATATTGATGTTTTTATATAAAATTAGTCGAACTTAAGACACTTTAAGTTTGGTATTATACTACAGTTGCTAGAGTTGTATTTTTTTCTAGAAGTACTTTCTATTTTATGACCCGACTTCATTCCCCGAATGAAACGCAAATTATGCTCTACAGAGTCTGCCAAACTGAAGTTTCTGCCACCAAATTCTTGTCGATCACCAGCATGTTCGTTTCGACTGGATTAGCTTATAAGTCATGGGCTAAAAGTACTGCTGACTGGTTTGGTGTGAGAGGAAAACACTGTTGACTGGCTGATAAGCCAAGCCAGATATAGACAGTTACATGCCGCCGAACAGGCTGCACATGTCTCCATAAAATATATTTTGCACACTCCTGAGTCTGTTTAGTTCTCAAAAAATTTTGCGCAGTACCCATCGCATCGAATCTTACGGCATATGCATGGAGTACTAAATGTAGACGAAAAAAACTAATTGCACAGTTTGGTGAAAAATCGCGAGACGAAACTTTCGAACCTAATTAGTCTATAATTAGACACTAATTGCCAAATACAAACGAAAGTGCTACAGTAGCCTTAAAAATGCATCTAAACGCGCAATCCAAACGATCCAACCTCACAAACAGTGCAACCTGTAGCAAACAGACAACAAACCATTGATGTACCTGTGTCTGCTCCTGCCCTGCATCATTGCTCAGCGTCAGATCATTGCAAAATTTAGGTTGCGTAGGCACGGACATCTCTGAGTGGAACAACTAGAATTTTGCAATAAGCCGGATTTCTTTGGCTTATAAACAAGACAAGAAGCAGTCTTTCTTTAACCTGTCATCATCCACTAATCACCACTCCTCGAGAGTAGAAACGGCAGATTTCGCAAAGCAGCTCAATGCCATTATCAAAAAATGTTATTGCAACTTACAGCACGCAAACATCGTCATTGTTGCTCAGGAAGAAACCAAAGAAATGGAATGAAAATTGGGGAACTTGCATTGCCAATAGCCCCAGGGCCAAAATTACAATGCTAACGGCAGGCAAGCTCTCCGTTCTAAAGGCCGAGAGGTCATGTCTCGGCGAATTCTAGATGGAGCCTCAGTTCTAATAAAATGACCAATGCCACCGAATGTCCAAATGCTGGAATATAATTTACAAAACCAGCAAACCCGATGATGGCGGTTGTGAAAACTGCGACAATTGACATTATTGATCAGCTACCCTGGCTCGCGGGATTCAGGGGTAGTGGACGTCAACTGGGGCAGCCAGCACAACCAGCTCAGCGATGAATATGTCATCGTTGAAGGAAGATGATGGGCCAGCCAAGCTAAGGGAGGACACAGCTGTTGTGATGTTCTCTTCCTCTTCAGTAAGGCCTTCCTGATTCCTGCAGTTCCTACTGCAGAATGCCTTCTCACCACTGCAAAGGACATTCGGCAAATTGTTCAGTGTTCTTGGTTCTTTCTATGATTATGGAACATAACAGATGAACATGCTGCTATGCAAATGCTACCCGTTTTATTTACACTGAATTCTTTGTGTCGAGAAATGCAATGCAAAACTGAATCATAAGTCAGATTCTTCAATCAGTCTATCCAGTTCAGGATGCTTGTCTACCAATCAATAACACATTCAGATGCAGAAAAATATGACAAATAGCACATTCAGATGAAAAACATATGAAAATTCTCAAAGAGAAACCACATCACAGATGAATAACAATCATTAGTTTGGATTCACTGTCGTCATAACAAAAGGTTGACGAGATCGCATCAACATACCGATAAATGCAGGAGTCACTGCCATCCAGCTTCTTCTTGCAAGAGACGCAGGAGCTCAAGAACTCCTCGCCAGGCTCGCCGTCATCGAAGCACTTGACCAGCCAGTAGGACTCTGCTCCTTCCTTGACTTCCATGGCGTCCACGCCATCACCAAGAGTGCAGGGCTCCAAGATGCAGTCCCCAAAGATGCGAGTGGTCTTCGGGTTCGGACCGTGCGCGATGATGCAGGTGTAGTCCTCCGACTGCTCCGCCTCCGTCGCGGACACGGACCCGACGTACCGGCGCGGGGCGCCGATGGACGCCGGCAGGGAGCCCGGCGCGGGGAACTTGCCAAGATCGGCATGGTGGCTGCTCGCGCCGGGCGGAGCGCCGCCGGCCACGGTGACCTCTGGACCAGACTTCACATCCCCGTAGGACCGGCTGCACGGCACCGGCTTGCAGCTGGCGGCGGCGGCGGCGGCGGTCCCCACATTCCCCAGCTCCGGGGACGCGTGGGCGCAGTCTCTCGGCTGGGTGGTGGTGAGGGGCTTGGCGAGGCGTTGCGGCAGCTTGAACGGCTGCCGCGCCTGGGGCCCGAACAGGCGGTTGTTGGAGGCCGCGGCGGGTTCGGCGAGGGCGTCGTCGTCGACGAGGCCGCCGAGGCCGAGGCGGTGCGAGTCCCAGCTCCTGGTCCCGGGCGAGCGCGGCGAGCGGAGCAACGAGCCGCCGAGCGCGGCGAAGGGCGCCCTGAGGTCGAGCGGCGACGTCGGGCTGCGCGCCGCCGTCGGCGAGTCGCAATCCGGCGCGGCGCCGCACCTGGGCGCCCCGCCGAGACCGACCAGCAGCCTGGGCACGGCGAAGAGCCGCGGCCTCCCTGCGCCCACGCCCGCGCCGGCGCCGGAGCCGTCGTCCGCCGCCACCCTCCTGAGCAGCATTCTCGCGCGCGTGAGTCAGCTCCTGGAGAGCACGCGAGCGGAACAGAGATCAGTCCGGCCCCGGCCCGTCCTCCAGAATAATCAGGGGGCACCGAGAGGCGAAGCGAAGCGAAAATCTAAACCGCCCGCTACGAAACGCCAAAAATCAGTGCCAGCCAGCACGAGCCAAGAAGCACCGGAAACTCCAGGACCAGCACGAGAACAAGGCGGCGCAAGAGGACAAGGCGAACGGCAACGGGGAGATAAAGCCGGATGAGGAGGAATCTCTCATCGCCAACTTGCGATTGCGATCAAGAAAACTGTCAAGAAAAGCAGAGACGTCGTCCCACCCCACCTGATCAGCTGCTCCGTTGCTGTTCCCTTCCCGTCCTCGCCCTTCTCCCTCTTGCGGCTTCCCTCTCTACCGCAATGCTGGAGGGGAGAGACGGAGAGAAAGGAGGAGCGGAGGTGGATATAGGCATGGGCCTGTGACTGGTGAGCGCACAGCAGGTACAGGCGTAGTAAAATGCCACTGCGTCACTGCCCCCGCTGCTCTTGCATTTCTCCCCTCGCTCTCTCTCTCTCGCTTTGGCGTGCAGCGCATCAACAGCCCGATCGGTTGGCTGGTTCGTATCGTCGCTAGCTCGTTAAGAAATAATTGATTTATATAAAAAAAAATACTATTTTAATTGAAAATTTACGATCGTTTACTATAAACCACACCCAAACGATCAGGCTGAAAAAACCGGAGCAATCAGGCTGAAAAAACCGGAGCAGGGGAGGCAGAAGCGAGCAGTGAGGTGACGGGTGGTGGGCTGCCTGCGGCTGCGGCTGCGCCTGCGCTTGGGATTGCTTCTGAAATACTCCACCACCATCTCCTCCGCGCCCTCGCTCCGCCCATTCATGATAGTCGCCGAGGGTGCAGTAGGCTCCATAGGCCGGCGGAGCTACGCACGCTACGCGTACGGTATGAACACGGCCGGCGGAGCTGCTCCTGTACTGTGCTCCCTCCGTACTTAAAAAAAAAAAGTCGTTTAGATTAAACAAAGAGAATATAAATAATGAATAATTTTTAAGTGGTAGGGCTTAGAAATCTGAAAACCATATATATAGATTTATTTTAAAAAGTATTTCCATAAAAATTTACATATACTATTTTTTAATAAATATCTTTATAAAAATAAATATTCAAAGTTATATTTTTGAGACCGTGTCGTTGTTAAAAAAAGATTTATTTTTTAAGTATGGAGGGAGTACGTACGTACGAGCCTCTGCACCCATTTGACCAGAGCACAAATGACATTACCACCGTCCACTTCCCTCCCTGTGCTGTGACCACGGGCGCGGAGGCATTTTGGACGGCCGCGATGGCAGGAAAAGGAACGATCTGACGGTGCAGGAACGGGACGCGTAGCCTTGTTGGCCCTGCGGGTGCTGCACCTGAACTGGACGTTCCCCGTGTGGTGGGGCCCATATGGCGGGTGGGAGAGATCTCGCGCTATCCAGTTCCAGTCCACGAGCAGGGAGCCGTACGACTACGCTTTTATTGGCACAGCGATGGCCCACCGCCGACGATGACAAACGCGGGCCCCGCCGCGGCAGGGGGCCTACCTTATGGAGGTGGGGTCCACCGGGTTCCTTGTGCCTTCTCTTCTTACCCCTTCTCTGTTTCTTTTACTGTATTTGAGCACGGGCAAAGGTGGCGGAAACCGGCAAGGATGGCGTGCACATGTAGGGCATGACGAGTTCAGGGATATAGCAGCACGTACAAGTAACACTAGTAGAGAAATGAGATCTAGTCCCGGTTGAGAACTAGCTCTACTCCTGATTTTCCAACCGGGACTAGCAATTCGGGACTAAAGATGTTGTTTTTTAGTCCCGGTTTACCACAACCGGGACTAAAGATCCTCACAGTTTAAAAAAAAAATGCCTCCCACCGCTGCGCCCCGTGAGATTCGAACCCAAGACCTCATACACTGCCTCGCGCGTAGCTTACCACCCCATCTACACAACACATCTAACAATAGATGGGATGCTTTCCTTTTGAACTAACCCATCGGGAGACCTTTAGTCCCGGTTAGTAACATTAACCCGGACTAAAAGGTCACCCTTTTAGTCCCGGTTGGTGTTACCAACCGGGAGTAAAGGTTGGAGGACTTTTAGTCCCGGTTGATGGCTCCAACCGGGAGTAAAGGTCCACCTTTAATCCCGGTTGGTATCTCCAACCGGGACTAAAGGTCTCCTGCCACTGTGCCGAGCGCAGTAGCCGTTGGGCAGGGACCTTTAGTCCCGGTTGATGTCTCCAACCGGGACTAAAGGTCTCTCTAGTCCCGGGCGCAAAAAATGCCGGGACTAGAGCTCATTTTGACCTCGGATGAAAGGTCTGTTCTCTACTAGTGTAAGCGCATTGTCATTTGTAAATGAGCAGCCGTTAGTCGAGATTATTTTTTAACAACATCATACATATAATGCTACAACATCTGTGCGGGTGGTGGCAGAGATCGACGTTTTCGTTTCCTCGGAGTGATCGTCTATTATCACCAAGTTCATTTTTGTGGGACACTAAAGCATATGCTACACACTTGCCCGCCGAGACAAAGTACATTCTACATCGTCATCATCTAAAATAGTCTAGTTAGTTCCTGTTCCTTCCCTCTAAGCACTACTACTATAGAAAATCTTTTGCGCAACGTTTTCATTTGGGGCTATGAGGCGGTTGGCCTAATTGCCGGTTATTCGAGACAGAGCAGCCAGGCCAGTAACCGCCTCGATTAATCGATTAACCGAGGCGGTTGCGTTACAACAGCTGCCTCGGTTAATCGACATTAACCGAGGCGGTTGTTATAAGGCGTTTGTCTCGGTTAATCGAGTCGGTCATGCTGCATGGCCCGTATCTACTCAACGCTCATTGGATATATAAATTAAGAGATAGGGTTATCCATACCCATCCCTCACCCACTGCCGCACCACACACCACCCTCAGTCCTTTCTCGTAGCGAGCTCGACGCCCCTCCCTCCACTCTCTCTCCCTCCCTCCCTCCCTCGTAGTGAGCCCGGCGCCCCTCCCTTGTCTCCGACGGGTGGTGGGTCCGGCGTGCGGGGCCCAGCGAGCGCACGGCGCAGATCCCTCCCTCGTCACGAGCCCGACGCCCTCCCTTTCTCGTCGCGTGCCCCTTCCTCTGTCTCCGGCGAGTGGCGTGCCCCTTCCTCTGTCTCCGGCGGGCGGCGGGCCCAGCTCGCGCAGCGCGGCGACAAGCGTGGTGCGCGGCCCCAGGAGCGCGGCGGGCAGCGCGGCCCGCACTGGCGACCCATCTTTCTCCTCTGGTGGCTCCCCGGCGGATCTAGACCGCGCCTCTCCTCCGACCACGGCACGATGACCCCTCCCTCTCCTCCGAGCACGGCGTCCGAGGGGCGGCGGCTTCGCATGGATCCTCGGTGGCGGATTCGGTCTAGGAGTGCAACGCGGGAATGGGGCCTCCTCCCCCGGCCAGATCCGGTGGCGGCGTGGCGTGGGGACGCCGGATCCAGTGTGCTTATGGCCACCAAAAGTGTTTGGACGAAGGGGAATGAAAGAAGTGACCAATTCTTCAACAGGCAGTCTACATTCCAACTTGAAGGAACTCGTCGTCGGGACTGGCCTTCAGATAGATTATTGTAAAACACCTCTGGTGTTACGAGCTCATTAAGCAGCTGAGTCATGTTTTTGCACCGTGGTTTGCATCTGAGTGCTTTTTGTAATGATGTATTGGTTGGCCGTGTTAGCGTATGTTTGGGCCACTAGTTAAATGAACCAAGGTAGTTAAAAACACCTTTGCCCAATCCAGTTCGCGCTCTGGAACGTAGTCGGACAAGCCCATGTTGACATCCCCTGTATCTCCCTCTCGCTTGTCTCTGCTCGACGTAGCTTTTCCTCAACCGTTCATCCCACCTACTCACCGAGATGCTGCCGCTATTCTCGTTGCTTCGTCTCTCCCCATCGCTTGACCAGTTTAGTGCATGTTGTTTCTAGAGGAGCACATGCAGCACCGTCCTTGCCATGCTGTTGCTCTGTCGTGCCCACGCCCCGCTGCTCCATCTCCTTGCGCTCCTTCCTGTGCACGCCGAGGCCGAGCTGCTGCTGCCACGCCATGACACTCCCGTGCTGCATCCGCACACGCGTCCCTGGCCCGCCGTGATGCCTACATCAAGGCCGAGGTCCTCTCCTTCTACTCTCGCCCTCGCCCGGTTCGTCGTCTGCCATGGCTAGCGAGCAAAGCTCCAAGTCACCGAGTCCCCATGCCTCTAGTCTCTCTCTCTCTCGTGCCCACCTCTAGCCCTACTGCCAGGCGCGCTTCTCCTCCACCCCCATGCCCTCGACTCTGCCGCTCCGGCTAGGCCGTCGCCGGAGCCGCGCCTATGTGCACCGGGTTAGGCGGGCTTAGGTGGCTGTGGCATTGCTAGTACCATGGCCTGCCCACCGCAGTCAGTAAGCCGCCCATGGCAGCAGCAAGCCAGGCAGTCACGCCCTGTCGCTCGCCGCCACCGGCCACGGTCTCAAATGTAGGTCGGTCGGCCTCGATCCTCGGTCTCCGTCTGCATGCATCATGACTGTGAGGAAGAAGAGAGAGGGTGAGAAAATAAATAAACTCTTTACTGTGTTCACTTTGTAAAAATACTAGACTCATTAAATTGCATATATGGGCTTCGTAAATTTCTGCATAGTTCAAGGTTCCCGGTGAAAAGTTCTTGTCTTATTTGTTTTTCCTTTTTCGTTTTCAGATTATGTGTCAATCTTGTAAAATTCATAACTCGAGTTAGGAATATCCAAACACAGTAAATCAAATTTTGTTAGCTTTGCTATAAAGTGCTCTACCTTTGATTTATAGAAATGTTTGCTGTTTGAGAAGTGCTTTTAGGGTTTTTCTTTTATTCCAAGAAAGTGCTCCTAAAACTTGATAAATGGAAAACTGGAGTTAGAAGTGGGATAAAAATGCGGTTCCAGTCTGTTGATCTACTCTTAACATGTTCTAGCTAGAAAATTT